AGGTTCCTGATGCTTCCTAATCAGAAACAAGAGAGAAAAAGCATGAATATGACCAACTCTTACCATCTCACTCCCTCTCACTCTCACAGGCGCACACAGACCACTTTGCCCTTTCCTACCACACACAAGCATACACATATGCATGAAAACACTTAGTTGTCTTTGGTTGCCAGTACAGGGGTCACTGTTTTATACCTACCGTAACTTTCAACTGTCCCATAACTTGTCAATGGGACAAATGTCCCATTATCGTCCATCCAGAAAACCCTCCTCCTTCTACATACAGGCTTTGAAAGCATGTTTTGGATATATTTTTAATTTCTGCATTCAAACAGGCAACCTTTTGTAGTGGGTTGACCCTGGTTGGATGCCAGATACCCACTAAAGCTGCTCTCTCACTTCCCTCTGCAACTGGACAGAGGAGAGAAAATACAATAAAGGGTTCATGAGCTAAGGACCAGGAGAGAGGTCACTTACCTATCACCAACACAGGCAAAACAGACTCAAAGTGGGGATATTAATTAAATTTATTACTAACAGAATCAGAGCAGGAGAATGAAAAGTAAAATAAATCTTAAAAAGTACCTTTCCCCCACCCCTCCCTTCTTTCAAGTTCTACCTTCTCCCCCCCAACAGTGCAGGGAGACAGGGAATGAGGGTTACAGTCAGTTGTTGTTTCTGCTGCTGCTCAGAGAGAGGAGTCCTTCCCCTGCTCCAGCTTGGGGTCCCTCCCACAGAAGACAGTCCTTCACAAACTTCTCCAGCGTGAGTCTATCCCACAGGCAACAGTTCTTTACAAACTGCTGCAACATGGGTCATTTTTACACGGGGTGCAGTCCTTAAGGCACAGCCTGCTCCAGTGTGGGTCCCCCACAGGGCCACAGGTCCTACCAGGAAAACCTGCTCCAGTGTGGGCTCCTCTCCCCATGGGTCAGCAGGTCCATACCAGGACCTTGCTCCAGCGTGGACCTCCCATGGGGTCACAGCCTCCTTTGGGCATCCACCTGCTCTGGCGTGGGTCTCCTTCATGGGCTGCAGGTGAATTTCTGCACTCCCATGGTCCTCCATGGGCTGCAGGGGGATAGCCTGCTCCACCATGGTCTTCACCACAGGCTGCAGGAGAACCTCAGCTCCGGTGCCTGGAGCACCTCCTCTCCCTCCTTCTCCACTGACCTTGGTGTCTGCATAGTTGTTCACATGTTCTCATTCCACTCTTCCCTGGTTGCAATGTTCATCTGCACAATAACTTTTTTTCCGTCTTAAATATGTTATCACAGAGGCGTTACTATCATTCCTTATTGGTTCAGCCTTGGCCAGTGGGGGACATTGGCTCTACCAGACATGAGGGAAGCTTCTAGCAGCTTCTCACATAAGCCACCTCTGTAGACACCCGCCCTACCAAAACCTAGCCACAGAAACCCAATACACCTTTTCATTCCAAACTTGACCTTTCATAACCATTTTGTTTCATCCATTAAAACGAGTTTCTTACAGGATTCATTGCTATGATCTTCTCTTTTCTCAGTGCCCAAATGTGATGGGTATGCAAGTATTACACAGGACCTTTTCCCATATTATTAACCTACACATCAAGGAAGACATTCCTCAGAGTCCCCAAAATAGAACAGGAAGAGAAAAGAACAAAAGCCTGATTTCGCAATGCCTCCTCCATTTGGTTAAATGTTAAGTCATGAGCTGAACAGAAGCCAGTTGAAGTCTGGGATACTGGATCATCAAAGGATGGGTAAACCCACCCCATGAAAAAGGTCATGGTAGAAGGGCAGAAAGTTTTGAGGCAGAATAGGAACTGTAGCAAGGGAGGATGGAGACCAGTCCAAAGGATGTGACAGAACTGGAGTACAGGTGCTTGTTTGAACTTCTTAGTGCTCTTTTCCAGAAGACCCCAGGAGAAGAAATTAATATATTTTCATCCTTGTCTATCCCTTCAGATAGAGGTGAATAGATTATAAGAATTAGCTAGTATGGAGCTCAGAAAATTTAGGCTTTGACTTGATCTGATTTTTTCACTACTACATTCCTAGTTATGTTAATGTTGGAAAAAAGATAGATCCATGCAAGGGAAATACAGTATCTCTGCAGGATTCCTGTCAGGAATCTCACTAGGTATCTGAGTGAAAATTGGAAAAAATATACTTTAGAGTTATATTTCCTCAGATACACAATGTGCAGCTTTTGATGTGACTCGAGTTCATTATTTTAATATAGTTTCATCAACAATATTAGAAAGGTAAGTGTAAGCACTCAAGAGAAAGAGATATCTCATTTGGCGGATTTTTACTATGCTGAACTTCTCAGAAAATTGAACTTCCTTTCAATATTTTGCTTTCAGAAAAATATTTGTGCCTAAGATAATAAAAATGTGGTGAGTTATTAAGGGCATTAATCATCATGTTATTAAGGTGTATTGGGTTTGTGTGGCAAGATTTTGATAGTGGGGGGGTTACAGGGTAGCTGTAGCTACCTACAGCAGCTGAGAAGTTGCTGGAAGTTTCTCCTATGTCCAATAGAACACATGTCAACTGGCTCCAAGACAGACACCATTGGCCAAGGCTGAGCCAATTAGCAATGGTAGTAACACCTCTGCGATAACATATTTCAGAAGGGAAAAAAGTTATTGCACAGAAGCCAATTGCAGACAGAGAGGAGAGGAGTGATAATATATGAAAGAAACAACTATGCAGACACCAAAGTCATTGAAGAAGGAGGGGTGCAGGGAAGGTGCTTTTAAGATTTGGTTTTACTTGTTATTATCCTACTCTGATTTGATTGGCAATAAATTTAATTAATTTTCCCCAAGTCAAGACTGCTTTGCCCACGAGAGGAATTGGTGAGTCATCTCCCTATCCTTAGCTCAACCCATGATCCTTTTGTTATATTTTCTCTCCCCTGTCTAGTTGAGGAAGGGAGTGATAGAGTGGCTTTGGTTGGCACCTGGCGTCTGTGAGACCTTGGATCCAAATCTCACTGAATTATTGATATGGGTCGGAACCAACTCACTGTGAGAGTGTATGTGTGTGTGTTGGGGGAGGACTGGGCCTAGACCTGCAGGTACATGGCAGAGCCGGAAGGCCTGCAGCCCATGCAAAGCACATGGCATCACTGAAGACTGTGTAGCTCGGCTGTCAGTCAAGGCAGATCTGCCTGGTAGCCTGCCCACACCATGCCCCTGCAGTCTCTGGTTGGCTATAGCACACCTCACTCTGGACTGGAAGGCACTGACCGGATATCCTGCCTGGGAGGGGACGGAAAACTAAACAGTATAAATACACGAGATTCCATGTGAACTCTCTTCTCTCCTGCAGCCTGAACCATGTGAACCATCAGATTTTGTTGGTAACCATTTTTTTTCCTTTCCTCCCTTTTCTTCTCTCTTTCTTTACTCTTTTAATATGTTTTCTTCTTTTACTCTTTTCCTTATCTTGTGGGTAACTTAAAACCAATGAATTGTGTTTTACTTTTTCATTTCATTTCATTTCATGGCTAGGTTTCACAAACGAAGATTTGGGAAGGGCTCTACCCACATTTGCTACAAGCATTGGCTAAAGAGGCCAATGAGAGATAGACAAGTCCAGTTGCAAAAGGCACAGCAGAAAGACTCCTTGGATGGTATCGGCAACACACGATTCTTTCTGCGTTGTCTTTTCTCCTCAAGAGTGATCCTGCGTGCGTTCTCAAAAGAAGCAGCAGCGCTAAAGATACTGTGTCTCCAGACCTCCTGACTGGAGGCCAGAGTAGACCAGTGATGAAGATCAATATGGCCAAGGTTGAGATGTTGTTTCAGGGAGTCCTTCTATCTTCTCTTTGGGGTTCCTCTCTTGCGGCAGCCGGTGGCAAGTTCACCATAGAGTACGATCTTGGGGAGGCAGTAGTCCTTCATCCTTGAGATGTGCCCTGCCCAGCGCAGCTGTGTTCTCAGCAACATGGCCTCAATACTCGTAAGTGCTGCCTGTTCTAGAACAGATGTATTAGTCACATAATCTGACCAGTGGATGTTTAGGATTGTACGGAGACAGCGTTGATGGAAGCGTTCTAAGAGTTGCAGGTGGTGGTGGTAAATGACCCTTGATTCAGATCAATATAAGAGAGTAGACAGCACAATGGCTCTGTAAATACTGATCTTTGTACTTTTCTTCAGGTGTTTATTTCGCCAAACTCTTTTATGGAGTTTTCCAAAAGCACTATATGCCTTTGATAACCTGTTGTCTATCTCTCCGTCAATCTTACTGTCCGAGGAGATGATGTTACCTCGGTAATTAAACTGCTGGACTGATTTGAGCTCTGATTCGCCAATGGTGATATGGGGATGATGGAAGACTTCCTGAGGTGCCGGCTGATAGAGAACTTCTGTCTTCTTCAAACTGACTTCCAACCCAAAAAGTTCAGCAGCGTCAGCAAAGTAGGATGTTAAACGCTGCAGAACTACTTCTGTGTGGGTGACGAGGGTGACGCCATCAGCATAAAGCAGTTCCCGGACAAGATGGTTTAAGGTCTTGGTGTGGGCCTTCAGTCGCCTTAGATTGAATAGGCTTCCATCAGTACAATATCGAATGTAGATACCATCTTCTTCATCGAGGTCTACCATGGCCCTTTAGAGCACCATGCTGAAAAAGATTGTGAATAGGGTTGGTGCAAGAACACAGCCTTGTTTCACACCATTCTTTATTAGAAAGGGCTCAGAAGGTGTATCACCATATCTGACTTGACCGTGCTGATCCTCATGAAGTGAGATGATCATTTTAAGGAACTTGGGGGGACATCCTAAACGTTCCAAAATCTGCCATAGACCTTTTCTGCTCACAGTATTGAAAGCCTTGGTGAGATCAACAAAGGATACATAGAGACCTTTGTTCTGTTCCCTACACTTCTCTTGTAGTTGTCTGAGGACAAATACCATGTCTGTGGTACTCCTGTTGGCTCTGAAACCACATTGGCTTTCAGGTAGAAGTTCTTCTGCTATAGCAGGTCTTAGTCTGTGTGGGAGGCGTGTCTGAAGGCACGAGGGATGTGCTAGGGCAGTAGGCCCGAGAGAACATGCGCGGTCACATATAACTCTATTGGCTGAAGAAGTCACATGATATACAGGGATATAAAGTCTCTTTGCCCCACCACCGACGAGGAGCGTACTTCTTCCTTGTTATACAAGGACCGCCTCTACTACAAATGGCCCACCGAATACGGACATTTTAGCTTATATTAAGCCAGATATTTATCCTGGATCAGGAAATCAGCTGGTAGTTCCGTTATCGTCTCGATTTTTCTGAGACGGAAACTTTTACCACAAAAAACTTTGACGTCAGTAAAGTCGTTGTCTCAGTGGTATCTGAGAAACTAAAAGTTAGTTTAGGAGCTCCAAAAATATAGGAAAGTGCACGATAGGAGAAGAGAAGAAAGAAGTTAAGAAGAAATTGAGAGGTCAAGCAGCCACCGGATAGAGCGGAGAGGGTCCACGCAACATCAAAACCGGTGAGTCCAGCTGGAAGGCACCCCGCACACCTAGCACTGCTCCCTGAACGGCAGCGTGTCTGCAACTCGGAGACCCAGGCCACGGAGTACCTTAAGACCGTCAGGGAAAGCCTGTTGGTCCCCATGCATTGGCCAATCTGGTAAAAGCGGCTTGCCGCTGCTGAGAGCTGCGGCCGGACCACGTGTGAGAAGTAGCTTGCAGTTGCAGCCTCTTAACACCTCCAGCCACCGCGGACCCCCGCGGAGCCCCACTTCAGTTTTCTGTCCAGTAGAAACTGCCGCGGTTCCCCGCCTGCTCACCACCGCTGACTGACCCTGCGGGCGTGCTTAAAAGCACTGCCACAAAAAAGCCCCCGCGCTGCATTCAGACCGCGGGGGACTTTACTGAAGGCGCCGTGCCGCGCCTTCCTGCTACGCAGCACCCGACCCCTGCACCGCCCAGCGATCTGCGGGAACCTCGGAGCCGCTGCCGCCCGTTCGCCAGAGAACAGAGCCCACGCCCGCCAATCTCCGCCAGCACCCGCCACCGCGTGACCGACGCCACTGTGCGTCGCTGAAGCCCGCGCCCACGCCAATCGCCTGCAGCCCCTCGCCTGCTCGCCCGCCCGTGCCCGCCGTTGCCCCGCGCCCGCCGCTCGCAACCTGCACTGGGACACCAGCCGCCGACGCCGGGACACTGCACCCTAGCATCGCAGACCCAGTCGACAGAGGACCGGGACAGACCAGCAAACAGACAGACCCTCTTCAGCAGCGCATGCTCACAGCGCCGAGACTCAAGGTAAAATGGGAAACTTTTTCCCCACTGAGCTCTCACAAGACACAGACGCATTAGCTACACTGCTGAAGCCATATTACATACAGGTTACAAGGGCTGAATTAACAGAGTTGGTACGGTTCATTAAAGCAGTTGTACCAGAACTGCCTCTGGTTGAAGCCCTCCACATACAAATTTGGGACAAAATAGGGAATCTTATAAAACTCAAAGCTCAGGGGGGAGACTCCCAAGTGAACAATGCTTTCCCAGCCTGGCAAGCAATAATGTCTGCTTTACGCAGAACACACCAAAGAACAACAAACACACACACCCCCGCTCACGCTGCAAGCATCAGCCCAACTTTTACGCGCCGCAGTTTAAAAACACAAACCCTGTTGAAAATAAGCCTCACTAACACACAGTATAATGTATGGCTGAACGATTTCAGAGAAATCTGTTCCACATATGCTAATGACCCACAAGCAGGGGTAACAACACACCACCTCACAGGGGAGGGTAACTACCGTTCCATAGATGCACAAACCAGGTACAATAGAGAAATATATGAAGTTATAGCCAAACATGCAATGCAGGCAATGAGAAAACTACCCACATCAGACAAAGACACAAACTTGTCATTCACAAAGATAATGCAGGGCCCAACAGAACCTTACACACAATTCCTAGATCGGCTGCAATCTGCCCTAGATAGGCAGATTGAAAACGAGGAAGCCAGGGAAATTCTCAGCAGGCGACTGGCTTTCGAAAACGCTAACGTTGATTGCAAAAGAGTTCTGCAGACTCTTCCTAAAAGGGAAACTTGTAGCATTTCAGAATTAGTTCGTGCCTGCCAGGGGATTGGTTCCTTGACACATCAAACTGATTTACTGGCAGTAGCACTGAGTGCTCAATTGAGAACACAGGAGGGGGCCAGACCCAGAAATGGTTACTACATTTGTGGGGCCCCTGACCACTTCCAAAGGGATTGCCCTCAGAAACCCCTAGTAGTGGCACCCCGCAAGCACCCAGAAGCAAGGAGGGTGCCAAAAAACTGGAGGAGAGGGGCGCTGTCGCACGCCCCGATACAGTAAACACGTGCGACATAAGGGAGCAGGCTGGCAATTTGTGCCCCCCCACAACAGCCAGCAATCTGTGCCCCTACACCCCAGCAAGTACTCTGTGCCCTGCCACCCCAGCCAGCGCTGGGCTGGACTTATCCAACAGGGACACAGTCTTCATAACTTCCACTGAGGTAGTGCTAATCCCGACTGGACGTTGGGGTCCCCTTAGCCCAGGGGTGCACGCACTGCTGATTGGAAGATCCTCCACCACCAGAATGGGTTTGTTTGTGCTGCCGGGAGTAATAGATTCAGATTCTCATAGCGAGATTCTAATAATGGCATGGACCCCTTCACCCCCCTATTTTATCCCAAAAGGACAGAAGATTGCTCAATTAATCCCCTTCTACAGTGCGTCGCCTGCAGGGGAGGGGGGGAGGGAGCGGGGTTCAGGGGCCTTTGGCAGTACAGGACACCCACAAGTTTACTGGGCAGCAGCCATCACAGCCACACAGCCATTCATGACATGCCAAGTTAATGGGCGCAGATTTACAGGCCTTTTGGATTCGGGAGCCGATGTTTCCATCATAAAGGACTCCGAATGGCCACTTGACTGGCCTACTGTTTGCCCAGCTGCAACCATTCAGGGGGTGGGAGGCCCATACAGAGTGCTCAAATACTCACTGTCTTGGGACCAGAGGGACAATTAGCAAAGGTAGCTCCGTTCATAGTTCCAATCCCTTGCTCTTTGTGGGGACGGGACGTACTTGGACAATTTGGCACAGTAATGCAAATTCCTCCTGCAAGTAGCCAGGTTTTTCAATAGGGGCCATTGGTCAGCCGTCCCAAGCACCTATTAAGCTAGTCTGGAAAAGTGACCTGCCGGTCTGGGTAGATCAGTGGTCCATGAAAAAGGAACGGATTGAACATTTAAAAATGCTTGTAAAAGAGCAATTAGAAGCAGGACACATTGTGCCAACAAACAGTCCCTGGAATATTCCTGTATTTTGCATCCCCAAAAAGACTGGCAAATGGAGGATGCTGCAGGACCTCAGGGCAGTCAACGCAGTCATTGAGTTGATGGGGGCATTGCAACCAGGGTTACCCTCACCTGCTATGCTTCCAGTAAATTGGCCACTAATAATAATTGATTTAAAGGACTGCTTTTTTACCATCTTTCTGCACCCCGAGGATGCACCAAGGTTTGCATTTTCCATCCCGGCACTGAACAACTCACAGCCTATGCAAAGGTATCACTGGGTTGTCCTTCCTCAGGGGATGAGGAATAGTCCTACCATATGTCAAACAGTTGTGGTAAACGCTATTCAGCCCATCAGAAAGCGTTTTCCTTCTGCAATAATCTACCACTACATGGATGACATTTTAATTAGCATGGCCACAGAAAATGGACTGCAAATTGTTGTTACTGCTCTGACTGATGCTGTCCAAGAAGCAGGGTTGCAAGTTGCTCCAGAGAAAATCCAGTGATCGCAGCCCTGGACTTACCTTGGATGGAGAATCACACAACAAGAGATTTCCCCACAACCACTGCAGTTCGAGGTAAAAGACACTTTAACCTTACATGAGTTGCAAAAACTCCTGGGAACCATTAATTGGTTAAGGTCCATTCTAGGCTTAACCACAGAGGAGCTACACCCTCTCTTTGTGTTACTAAAGGGGGACTCTGACCTAACGTCTAACAGAGCTCTGACAGCAGAGGTCAAGCAGGCGTTAGACATTTGTGCCAAGGCAATAGAAAATAGGCAGGGCAGGAGGAGAGATCCTGAACTGCCAATCTGCCTGGCCTTAGTTCCCAGCAGGTACCAGCCATTTGCAGTCTTGTTTCAGTGGGACCAGGCTGAAAAGGACCCACTGATGTTTCTAGAATGGCTATTTCTGCCCAACACACCACCTAAAACTGTATGGATGATTAATGAAATGTTTACTAAGCTTGTCATTAAAGGCAAAGGATGACTACAGGAACTGGACGGAAGGGATCCAGCTGTCATCTACATTCCAGCCACGAAGGACAATTTGGAATGGATGTTGGCTGAGGACGTCGAGTTCCAAGCTGCCTTGGCAGGTTTTGATGGTGACATTTCAGTCAATCTCCCTAAGCACAGGCTTTGGGCAGAAATCAGCAATTTACCTTTAAAAGCCACAACCAGATGTAAAACTGAGCTGGTAAAAGGCCTCACAGTCTTTACAGATGCATCTGGGCGAACACAAAAGGCTGCAGTGACTTGGGTAAATCCTGATACAGGACAATGGGAACAGGAGGTACAGACCATAAACCAATGCTCTGTGCAGGTTTTGGAACTAGTTGCCATTCGTATTGCCTTGGGAAAGTTTTCTGAACAACCGGTTAATATTGTTACTGATTCTTGTTATGCTGCAGGGTTAGTTTCATGGCTGGAATGTTCGTTTCTCCAAGATGTTTCTAATCCTCATTTGTTGTTTGAAATGCGCTCTATTTGGGTTCTTGTCAATCACAGAAAGTTTGACTTTTACATAATGCACACCAGGTCTCACACTGACATGCCAGGGCCAATAGCTGAAGGGAACCGGGAAGCTGACAAAGCAGCAATGTTTAACACAGAACCCAGGGTCCTAGAACAGGCAAAATTGTCCCATTCATTTTTTCATCAGAATGCACGCTCTTTAAAGAGACAATTCAAAATAACAATCAATCAGGTTCGAGACTGAGCCTGATTAACTTGTCCAGATTGTCAAAAAATCACCCCCATGCCATCTCAGGAAGGCGTTAACCCCAGAGGGTTAATGTCAAATGAGATTTGGCAGACAGATGTCACACA